TGAATGTTTTAAAAAGAACCACGTGTTTGTGTTTATTTTAGCAGGAATTCCTGATTTATTCTCCAAAGTGTTGCTCAGCAGCTGCTCTGTGCATTCAGAGCCTGCCAAAAAAGCCATGGAATTAATAATTCTAATGAGATTGTGAAGCTCTCTAATTCCTCAGAATTGAGTAACAAACAGCCCTCACAGGCACCTTGTGCAGGGCTCACAGAGAGGGTTTGACTCTTGATTTTTCAGGAGCAAAGTCACCATAACTTCAGTGCCTGGCCATGAATATAGAGGTGAATGCATAATAAAAACATTTATATTACATTTACATATTGGGCAAGAGCTTGGAGAAAGTCTCTAATTCCACAGGAGTTGTGATATACAGAAAGTGTGAATTTCGTATATTTTAGCAATTTCACTGATAAAAATAATGTCCGGTTTTCATTAACTAAGTTTGGTTTTCCCCTGAAATTTTAAGATACTCTGAAAAGAGAAATTTTGCTGTAGAGAACACTTGGCTTTTATTTGGTTGTGGTGTTCAGGGTAGCTTTGAGCTCAGTTTTACAGACTGAATGTGTGTAGGTGTTGGTACAAACAGCCACTTCAAATTGCAGAAGTGATTTATTTCAGCTCAGGTGTCAAATCTATGGAACAAGAATGGAGCAAATTTTCCTTTCCATGTCCCCTCCTTCACTTCCCTGCTGCTGGAGCTGTGTCTGTCCCTTGTCTTGCAGGCCTGGAGGACAACCCCCAAATTGTGCTGCAGGTGATGAGGAGATACATCCAGCACTTCTTTGGCTGCAAGGCTTGTGCTCAGCACTTTGAGGAGATGGCCAGAGAATCCATGGATTCTGTGAAAAGCTTGGACCAGGCTGTTCTGTGGCTCTGGGAGAAGCACAACGTGGTCAACAACAGGCTGGCAGGTAGGGGAGAGGAACTCCTGAGGATGAAAACCAGCATTTTCAGAGCTGCTTTCTTCTGATACTTCACCTGTTGCTTGGTCAGACTTTTTCCAAATCAAAGGAGCAATTAAACTGCATAGCAGTGGATAAAAAATAATTGCATTTCTTTGTGTACCAGTTTAGGGTTAAAACCTGCCTTTGGTTTGGTTTGGAAAATGATGGCAATTGAACAAGAGGCTTCAAGCCTCAACTCTTGCCAGATCGGCAGCTGAATAAAATAAAATTACTGTATAAAGGAAACCTGTGCCCCCTCCAGCTCCCTGTGTTTTCAGTTGGAAGTGCTGTTAAAATACTGGTTGTGTTTAATCCATTCTGTTATGGAGGTATCAAGTAACTAAAGCACTAAAGAAAATTGGTTTCTCTTTGCACTAAATCCCTGTCTGCTGTTATGGATCTGGGTAATGCAGCATTAGTTACAATTTCAATATGCTACATTGTGTTCATATTATGCTCCTGCTGCATTCCCAAGATTTATGAAGAATTAAACATTGCTGTGAGTACAAACAGTTTGCCTCCTTTCTCTGAGGAGAAAAAAGGTAAATAATAAGAGATGAAATAAAAACATCCTCTAATTTTGGTGCCTTTAACAGGCAACTCCTGTGGACTTGGAGTTGCCAAGTGGTGGAGCAATGCACTTATTTAGAACATTAAGGTATTGGAAAACTCACATGGATATTGATTTAGGTGATGCAGCAGCCAGCTAAAATACCCTTTTAGTAAGAACTATAAACACACTGGAATAAATAATAATGTTAAATTATGCTTTTTCAGTTTGCTAAAATTTCTCTGTGGGACAGTGATGTATTTTCACGCTTAAAAGCTGCATCTGTATTTGTGGTGCTGAGTGAGAAATGATGTTTGGTCAATGAAAGCACCTTGGGGTGGGGGTCAGGAGGTGCCTGGATATGGCTCTGCCCTATTGAATTATTCCCTGTCCCTTTGGAATGCACAGGATTTATAGCATTTCCCTCTTTGGCAGGAAAACACAAAGTACAGGGAGCTTTCTGTTTGTAACCTTGCTGTAACACATTTTGTTTCTGCATTTTTTTATTGAAACGAATTGATTGCTGAGTGATCTTTAGGATAAAAAAGCCAATTTGCTCTTTTGCTCATAAATATCAAGGAGACAAATATTTTTAAATGTCTTTTGAATCCATATTTTACCCAAAATCATAGGGAAGTTTCCTGTTTTTAAAAAGAATAAAAAAATAAAATGGGAATAAAATGCAAAATTATTATCTCTAAAATATTTTAAGTGCTTGTGTACTAATCAGGTTAATAAATTAGGAGTTTTATCAGGTGGAGATTTTTTTTCTAATAATTATCTCCATTCCCATTTTAAAATATTGGTTTTTAGAGCAAAGTGTGAGACCAGCTGCAGTGTTCAGCTCAGAAACGTGGCCAGAGCTGTGAGCATCTGAAATGTTAAAATCAGATCTAATTCAAGACAGTGTTACATGTGTAAAGACTCGTTTTTTAGCTGAAAAAAACATCTTAAACATGAGCATGGCTTTTAAAATACTGATGTTTGTTCTGGTAATGATGCAGAGCTGTGGAAAAGCAAGCTTGGGATGGAATGGTTCACAACACAGAAACATGAAAATATCTGAGTGTCTGGCCTTGGAGCTGCTCCTGCAAACCAGGCAGAAAACAGGGATTAAGGAGTGAAAAGAGCAGTTTGTTTTGCACCATAATTCAGGTTAACCCTGCAGGGCCCGGGCTGTTGGGTGTTCCTGCCTTCTAAAAGCAGCAATTGCAGGATTTGGGCTTGGGATTGAAATGCTGCAGCTTTTACTGTGAGAAAAGGGAAATAATTGTGAGTCAGTGTTTGTATTTTGAAACGTTTGGGGTCAGAATTGATGAGAAAAGTTGCAAATTTGTGATTGTCTCTGTCTCTGTTTAATTCAGTTATTGTGCTGTGGCTTTTTATGCCAACCTCACTGGAAGTGGAAAGCACTCCCTGGGCTGAGGGTGCAGCTTTCCCTCTTCATCCCTCCTGACTTTCTCCATTTCTATTTTTCTCCTCCCAATTAGGTGACTTGACCGAAGATCCAAAATTCCCCAAAGTTCAGTGGCCAACTCCAGACATTTGTCCTGCATGCCACGAAGAAATCAAAGGGCTGCACAGCTGGAATGAGGAGCAAGTCCTGCAATTCCTCAAGTCCCACTACGGCAGCGAGAATCTTCTCTATCAATACACCCAGAGCCAGGCTGAGCCCAGTGACAGCGAGCAGGGAGACACGAGGGAGCTGAAAGACAAAACCCTGCAGAAGAACTCGGGGGGAAATGGAGAAAAGCAGCTCCAGGAGAAGGAGAACGCAGGAGATCCAGGCTCCAAGGGCTCGGAGAAGGCAGCGGGGAATCCTGGAGCTGTCCAAGGTAGCGGCAAAGGCGCAGCAGCATCCGTGAGCCTCAAAGGGACCAGGCAGGCTGTGTCCTTCCTAGGGATTGGATTTTCCAACCTAGACATGAGTCTGTGTGTCATCCTCTATGTGGCATCATCCTTGTTTCTGATGATCATGTACTTCTTTTTCCGGGTGAGGTCCAAGCGCTGGAAAGTGAAGTCTCACCGCTCCTCGGTGTAGGAGCTCGCGCTGGTCGTGGCTCTTGGGTCCCAGACACAGCTTGAATATTTATGATCAGGGATTTTATATGCAGTATTCCTTGGGTCACACCCCTTTCTTCCTGAGGCATTTCCCAGGTGTTCAGCTGAACGGGTGGAGCTGGCCTTGAGATCCCCTGGCTTTGCCCAGGGCCACGTCAATGTCCTCGCACGGGAGCGTTGCATTCGGCAGTTAAGGTTTTTCCATGGCTTCCCACCAACATCCTTAACTCATTTCCAGAGTAAACACTGCATTATGCAATCCACTGTGCCTGCTGGAGAAGGAAATTGGATATTGTTTTGTGTATTTTCAAGTCAGGTGTTATGTTTTGTTTTAGTTCCATCCAGAGCTGATTTCACCTCCCGAGTGCTGAGCAGTTCCTGAGTGGTACCTTGAGCCTCACTGGCAGAAGCAGGAATTCTGATGATTTTTTTCAGGAAACACGAGTGCTCCTCTGATTAAATCAATTCTAAAGCTCTGTGACTTTCTGAAATACTATTTACACATTTAAAGTAGGAAGCATTTCATGTTCAAATCATTCATCCATTCTCTGGTGCATTCCAGCCAAGGATATGTGTGTGCCATCACTAGGATGAGAGTTTTGGGGCACAATTAGCAGTCTGATTCTGATTGCTAAGTAATTATGGTGTTTTCCAGGTGGAAACCAATCCTGATGAACTCTAGGAAAGGAAAACAATGTTTTTAGTGAAGGACAGCAAAGTTTGTGTTACTGTGGCAGAACAGATTGGAAAATCTACAAGTACTGAGTTTGTTCTGTTGAATTTCTCCATCACAAGAGAGCAATTAACACTTCCCTTGGTATTTCCACCCAGAGCTGCCCTGTTCTGGGATGTCCAATTCCCTCTAGAGCTCAGTGTGGGGTACTTGGAGCAGCAGTGAGAAGAAATCATGGAAACATTACAAAATCATCCTTGGGAGTAGGAGTTGCTGTGATCCTGGCTGGGGGGTATAATTCACGTCCTGGATAGTGAAGTTTATAATCCTATCCAATGTAATTGAGCATGTTCTAGTTATCCATTACCTAATCTTTAGTTAATCCTAATAGGTTTTGGCCTCAATGTTTTCTCGTAGCAGTGAGTTCTCCAGATTAATTATGTTATATAAAAAGGCTTTTCCTTTCAATTCTACATTTGCAACTTTTAATTTAATTGAATGTTTGCTGGCTCCTCTGTTACACGAGAAGGAATAACAGGTCCCTGGCCAATTCCCTGCATTTGTACCACTGCTGTGTCCTCCTCTGATTTCCCTCAGAACCCCCAGCACAGAAAGTTTGAAGCCTGGCAACAAAAAAGCACAGAAACCCCACAGGGTTATTTCTTCATTATCAAACATTGGCTGTTCACAAAATTGAGTATTTCTGATGTGTCTCTGCAGCATCCAGCTGGAATGGCAGAACTGAGCTGCAAGGATTCACTGTCCCTTGTGGATGAAGTTTATCACAGTAACACCTGGGGCTGCTGTGAATGTGTCAGAGGGAGAAATCTCAGTTCCCATGACCCTGTCAGTCCTGCAGAGGGGCTGGGTCTGTGTCCTTAAGGACCCTCAGAATTCCAGAGTTCTGGCAGGAGGAACCATCCTGGGTCTTTCCTCTTTAGGAATTTATGAGTCCCATCCTTAGAGCAGCTGGGCTTGGACACTCAAACACCCTGTGGGCACAAGGGTGGTGCTGACCCCATGGGGAAGGGGCTCCAGGCTCATCAGGGCCCTTTGGTTTGGGCTGCAACCCAGTGAGAGATCCCAGGGTGAGGCTCATTCAGAGGAAAACCTGGAGATTCCACACTGACTTTGGAAAATCAGGTAACCTTGGGGTGTTCTCAGCCCACCAGCAAGGATCCTGAGCTTTAAAAGAAAACCCAAACACCAGGAAAACCTAACCCAGCACAGCAGTGTTGGGTCTGGAAAACGGAACAAAATAATTCCTGCTGTCAGTGTTGCACATTCTCAAGTTGAAATTCAGCCTTTGGTGGTTTAGAATTCCAGTACACACACCTGGTTTCATAAGCTTGGACTCATTCTGCTCATTTTTGTCAGCACATGAAAGCAAAAGGCCTTGGGGGTTTGTAGGGATGATTTTGCCATTAAAAAACAGCAAATGTAGGTTTGGAATAAAGTTTGGGAGGAATAGAGTTTGGAATAAAGTTGAACTTCCACATTGCTGTGACCCTGCTGCAAACACAACAAAATGAACCAATACTCAAACTTCAGTGGCTTTTTTTGTCTCTTCAGAGTTTGAAAGTATGAAATTAATGAAATTAGGATATTGCTTGTCCATGTTGGTCCTCCAGCTCTTGCCAGTGAACCAGCCAAGGCCTTCACCTCAGTGTCCTCATCTGGGAAGGTTTTCTTGACTTTGAATTCACTTGAGTAAATCTTGGGTTTGTTTTCTGTCTTTGTAATGACAAATTTTACCATTTTATGTCTCTGTACCAATACAGTCTGTGCTGGGGGATGGGTGATGCTGCCAGGAAAGTGTTTCTGGTTTAAAAATTGCCTCCAAGCCCCACATCCTCAACCTTGGGTGTTTATTTGTGTGGTGTGTTGTCCTGCAGTGCCACTTCCCTGTGGGAATCGTGCTGTGCTGGGGCACTTCCTTGGCCCTTTGTAATTCATAATTTCTTTGCTCTCAGGATGTTTTCAAATAGGAAATATTAAAATAAAAGGAGTAGAATGTGCCAGGAGAGACAAAAGCTGCAAATGTTAAAGAAACCTGATGAAGTTATTTGTGAGAATTCCTAATTTTCTGTTTCCAGCAGTGCATCCACCCTGCTGTTCCTGCACAGAACAAAGGTCCCAGGTGTGGTGTTGCACATGAGGTGTTGAAAATAGTGACAATACCATTTCAGTAATGTAAATGTTCTATTTATTTGAAGTCAATAACTTGACATCTCCAAGTCTGTTCTGGTTGGGTTGGATTTTTACTGTCTCATTCCTCTCTTGGAAGGAAAAGTGACTGTTTTGTACTAAATTGTAAATTAATGTGCTTGTTTAAAATAAACTGCAAGCGTTTGGGCAAAGTGGATGCGTTTGTGCTTTTTATCTGCGTGTGCAAATTATTTTGAGCTGAACTCTATTGCCAGGACAGCTCACGAACATGTCCATGATAGACCAGATCCATCCTCTTGGGGAGGTGTATTTTTAAGCCAAGACTTCTCAGGAGCTGCTGGGGAATCTGAATGAGGGAAGAGAAAATAAACCAGGAATAAATAAATGTTTGAGTAGGTTGGTTTTCATTAATGGTTGTTTTTTTAATTAATGGCAGAAACCCAAGTGAGGAAGGCCATGGGCAGGAAGGTACAGGAGGGTGTGCAGGGGGAGATCAGCACAAGGGCTTCTGTGGGGTCCTGGATGTCACAGAGCAAGAGACCACAGGGCTGGCAGGTGCCACTGATGGTCCTGATGGGACACAGCCCCTGCTCTCTGTCCTGGTGGGTCACAGCCCTGATCTCTGTCCTGGTGGGACACAGCCCCTGATCTCTGTCCTGGTGGGTCACAGCCCTGATCTCTGAATGGGACACAGCCCTGCTCTCTGTCCTGGTGGGTCACAGCCCTGATCTCTGAATGGGACACAGCCCCTGATCTCTGTCCTGATGGGACACAGCCCCTGCTCTCTGTCCTGGTGGGTCACAGCCCCTGATCTCTGTCCTGGTGGGTCACAGCCCTGATCTCTGAATGGGACACAGCCCCTGATCTCTGTCCTGATGGGACACAGCCCCTGCTCTCTGTCCTGGTGGGTCACAGCCCCTGCCCTCCCTCCTGCCCGGCCACGGCTGCCCCATCCCTGCCCCAGCACCACCCCACACAGGTTTGCTAAAAGCGCTTCCTTAGAGGCTCAGACTAAAAATCCACTTAAAAACCGGGCTTAAAAGGGACCGTGTGGGCCATCACTGTCCCCAGAAGATGTTCACAACCCTGGGGAGGGCCGGGTGCTGGTGCCACCCGGTGTCACTGCTCATGGTACAGGTCCTACTCGGGCAGGACCCGGACCCCAACCTCCGCCTGCGGTTCCTGGGTGCTTCATTTGGGACCCCAGTCCTGGTCCCCAGAGTGTCCCCCTGCATTTCCCAGCCTGGCAGGGCTGAGCTGTCCCGCAGAGTGGATCCGGTCCCCGGCCAGAGGAACCATCCCGGGGACAGCCCCGAGCCGGCCCCGCAGGACCCGCAGGAGATGAGGGTGGTCCGGGCCGGTGCCTCGGGGTCCGGGGCTCGCCGGGGGCTCCACGGCCGCCCCCAGGAGCGGGCGAAAGTCGCGGCGCCGCCGTCGGCAGGAGCATATGTGAGTTTGGAGGCTCCCGCCCCTAAGCTGCTTTTATTAATTTGTAATCCCCTGCGAGCAGGAGGTAAAGGGATTCGGGGGATTAACGGGCTCACAGTAACAACCACAATTATCAGCTCCGGCTGCCTGCGGCGAGCGGTGCGCACGGGCACGGGGCTCCGCCCGGACAAACGGCCCCGGGCCCCGGGAGCGCACCGGGAGCGCACCGGGAGCTCCGCACACGCGGAACCGCGACAGAAATTGGGACAGAGCACCGGCACAGGCACCCCACATCCCACACTTCACACCCCACACCTGTGGGGTACGGTCGGACCCCAGCCCGGCTCCCCGCACTCCCGCACAGCCCCGGGGCCGCCGCGCTCACAAAACCCCCGCACACTCAGCTCCGTCCGTGTCCGCCCCGTCCTCAATTAGCGCAATTAACCTCCTGCGGCCGCCGCACGCCGCTGCCCGCGGCTCAGGCACCCGCTACCGCTCCGCGTTCGTTAATTAATTAGCGGCGGGGAAAAAGCCCTCCCGCTGCCCGAGGGCGGCGTCGGGGGAGCCCCGCACGGCGGGAACAAACGAAATCCGGGCTCGGGGGCTGCCGGCGGGCAGCGGGGCCCTGGTGAAGGCTCCCCCCGACGGCGGCTCCCTCGACCCCCTCCGTGAGGGCTCCCGGGGCCGCTTTGCCCCCGAGGGCGGCGGCTGCAGCCCGAACCCACGCGTCGGGGGCGGCCACGCGTGGGACGGCGGGGCCAGCGCTCCCTCGGCCGCTTTTGTGATGCTAAAGAGGCCGGCGCTGAACCGCGGCCCAGCTGCGGCCCGGTGCCGCCCCCGGCCCGCCCCCCGCGCCCCCCCGCTCCGCCCAGCCCCGCGCCGCTCCCTGCGCGCCCCTCCGCGCCGCTCCGCCACTCCTCCGCAGCTACCCGCGCGCTTCGGACGGCGCCCACGGAGGCCGCGATGCTGCTGGAGCGGGTCCGCCCCGGTTCGGAGAAGGCAGCGGAGCTCTGCCCCTTCCCGCGGAGCCCAGGTGAGGGGAGGCGCGCAGGTCCCCGCGTCCTCCCGCGGAGGCAGCGGCGGCTGCTCTGGGAGCCCCGGGCCCGGCCGTGCTCCGTCTGCGTCCAGGGGGCACCGTCGGGGCCCGGTCGGGGCTGGCTGCGGGGAAGGGCGGCCCGACGGCATCGGGGGATCCGTCCCGCCCGTCCCGTCCGTCCCGAGCTCTCTCTCTCTCTCTCCTTCCTCGTTCCCGGTATCAGAGCCCCCCTCGCTGCCGCTCTAGGTCCCCGTCGGTCCCGGGGAAAAGCGGCGCTCACGGGAGCCCAGCCCGGCCCGGCGGAGCGGCGGCTCCTGCCCCGGGTCCCGCTCAACGAGGACAGGGCCGGAACGGGGACTCCCCGCTGCCCGACGGTTCCCTCCCGCTGCGGGGACCCCCCGCGCCCCCCTGCCCGGCTCCCAGGCGGCTTTTTCCTCACTTCCAGAAAAACTCCGTTAATTCTTCTTTTAAGCGTTTTTTCGTCCCGTTGAACGAACGTTTCTCTTGGCGGGGCAGGGAGAACCGGGCTGCGCTGGCCCCGGGGCTCAAGGGCTCAACGGGGAAGCCCGAGCCGGGTTCGGGGCAGCGGAGCGGGGTTGTCCTGGTTCTGGCCAACATCGAAAGCTGTCGATGGGGCTTTAAAAAAAAAACAAATCAACGACGAACCGGGACGGGGGCCCCGCTGGTGTGCGGGGACAGAGGTGTCACCGTGAGCGGGACCGACAGCGTGGCCCGGCAGCCTCTGTGAACGGGCCGGTGCCCCCGGTCCTACCCCGATTCGCTTTCCGTGGCTGTCCCCGTGGGCTCTCGCGGTGCGCACAGCGCGGCAGCTGCGCCTCTGACCCGGCAACCGGAGCTGCTCGAGCTCCCCGGGGATAGAGAGACACCGCCGATGTGGAGTCCCCGGGAGAACGAAGGACGCGCAAACTCCCTTTTCCCGCAGGACACGGTGCTCGTTCACGGCCCCGTGGTCCTGGGCTCCGTCGGGGCCCGGGAGGCGGCGGGAAGGGCTCGGCGGGGCTCACCGTGGCCGAGCGCCGGTCCCGGGGGATTCGCCCCGCCGCGGGGGCCGAACCGCGGGGCGCTTTGCCCGGACCGGGGGCACATCCCGGGGTTCGCGGCTCACAACGAGCTCGGGGCAGCGGCCGGTGCTGCCGCCCCCGCCCGCCGCCGGCCCCGTCGGGTTCGTTACCGGGGCCCCGGAGCCGCGTCCCGCCCGCCGGGCGCAGCCGGGAAGGGGCGGCGGGAGGGGATGTGCAGCCGGCCCCGGGGGCGGGGGGGATTAAATACAGCGCGCCAGCCGCGATGCCCTCCCTGCCCGGCGCTTCGGAGCGGCACCGGCGGCGAGGCCCGGCGTCTAAAAATAACCCGCTTTAGCGAGTTAAATCCCCGGCGGCGCGGGGGCGGCAACGCCCGGAGCGGGGCACGGCAGCCGCGGGTTTGGGGGGCCCGGCGGGGCCAGAGTCGCGGTTCCGAGCCCGGCCCGGCGGAGCCCCGCGGAAGATGCGCCAGAGCCCGCGGCCCGCCTGAGGGAGCGGAGCTGCCGCGGATCGCCATGCAGAGTAAGAGCCGCGGACCGGGCTGGACCGGGACATTGCCGGGCCGTGCCGTGCTACCGTGCCCGCTGCCGGAGCTCCGTCCTGGCCGGGGCCGCTGCCTTCAGCGCTGCCGCTGTTGGGGTTGTTTGTTTGGACGCGGTGAATTGTTCAGGATAACGATTATCGCCTCCACCTCTTACCCCTGTGCGCGGCGATCCAGCTCCTATATCTACATAGAATTATCTTTACATAGAAATACTCTCGTGTCCGTACCCGTCTGTTCCTGCACAGCCGTGTCATACATCTCTCTGCCTCTATTTACACCGATATATCTGTATTTATGTACCTCATACCCATATTTTCACCTACTTATCTCTATCTATACCTATATACTGAAATCTATATATTTATGTCTATATATCTGTACATTTCGTTCTCTATCTGCTGTATCTGTTTATTTTTATATCTCTATTTCTCCATGACTGTATCCGTATCTCTTTCTGTGTAATCTCTGTCGGTATCTAGAGGGGGACGGGACAAGACTGCTGCGTTTTTATTTTCAGTGCAATTCTCGTAATTTTGGTAGTTTCTTTCCCCACCCCATTCGGGCTCCCCCGCCGTTGCCCGCGGGTGAATTTTGGAAGTTTAGGAAAAAGAAAAAGAGCCTGGGGTAATTACAGATTTGCCGGCGGCTCTCTCGGGGGGTTAATTCCGTTTCCATCACTTCCCTTCTTGTTTATTCCGGTTTTCTCGGGCGCTTCTCCTGGAGTGTCTTCGACCCGGGCGTTCGCTGCTCTCCACGACGCCGCGATAACGAATTTGAACGAATAATGGTTTTTCTCGTGCTGTTCCTCAGGCTACCCCCGGGGCTGCGGGTCGGGTCGGGCCGGGCCGGTCGGGGAGGCGGAGGGACCAGCGGGGCCATCGGGGCTGACGGGGGCTCCCTCCCCGCAGAGATCCCGCTGTGCGCCGGCTGCAACCAGCACATCGTGGACAGGTTCATCCTCAAGGTCCTGGACCGGCACTGGCACAGCAAGTGCCTGAAATGCTCCGACTGCCAGACGCAGCTGGCCGAGAAGTGCTTCAGCCGCGGGGACGGCGTCTACTGCAAAGAGGATTTCTTCAAGTGCGTGGGAAGGGCCGGGGGGCGGCCGGGCCGGGCGGGCGGCACAGCCGGGCGCGTTTGGGGTTCAGCACCGGGACAGCGGCACCGGGAGCAGCACCGCGGACAGCGCCGGGGCCCGCGGGGACCGAGCCCGGCTCCCCCGGCTCAGCGGCGCCGCTTGTCCCCCATGCTCAGGCGCTTCGGGACGAAGTGTGCCGCCTGCCAGCAGGGCATCCCCCCGACCCAGGTGGTGCGCCGGGCACAGGACTTCGTTTACCACCTGCACTGCTTCGCCTGCATCGTCTGCAAGCGGCAGCTGGCCACCGGCGACGAGTTCTACCTCATGGAGGACAGCAGGCTGGTCTGCAAGGCGGACTACGAGACGGCCAAGCAGAGAGGTACCCCTTGCCCCGTCCCTTGCACCCCCGAGGGCGGCCCGGGGCGCTCCTGCCCTCCGGGACAGGCTCACACAGCGGGCGGGAGGGCCCGGGGAGGGTCCCGTGTAACTTCACCCCTAACTCGCCCCGCGCCGGCAGAGGCTGAGTCTACAGCCAAGAGGCCCCGCACCACCATCACGGCCAAGCAGCTGGAGACCCTCAAAAACGCGTATAACAACTCGCCCAAGCCGGCGCGGCACGTCCGGGAGCAGCTCTCGTCGGAGACGGGGCTGGACATGCGGGTGGTGCAGGTGAGAGCGGGGCACGGGCGGGCCGGGCCGGGCCGGGGCGGCGGGCGGGGAGCGGCCCCGCAGGCCCGGAGCTCCCCGCGGGCCCCGCTCGCAGGTCTGGTTCCAGAACCGCCGGGCCAAGGAGAAAAGGCTGAAGAAGGACGCGGGGAGGCAGCGCTGGGGGCAGTACTTCAGGAACATGAAGCGATCCCGGGGGACATCCAAGTCCGACAAGGACAGCATCCAGGAGGAGGGGCCCGACAGCGACGCCGAGGTTTCCTTCACAGGTCGGTGCCCGCAGCCCCGGCCGGGTTTTTCCGGGCTGTGTCCTCCCCGCAAAGCTGCTGCCCTGCCCCGGCTGCTTCCACCCCCTCGGGGCCGCGGTCGGAATTTGCGGCAGTGAAACAGAGGGTGAAACCGAGCGGGAGAGGGGGGAAAGGGGCAGGGACGAGGATTCCCCGTGGGGCGGAACCGGAGCCGGGGCAGCGAGGGGCGGCCGGGCCGGGGAACGGCGGGGGAGGCTCCGCTCTGCCTCTGACCGGGCCCGGGGGCTCCGCTCTGTCCCCGGCCGGGCCCCAAAGCTGCGGCAGGACCAGGGAGAGCTCCCCGGGCAGCGTTGTGTTGTCAGAGCCGCTGCTCAGACATGATTTTCCAAGGGATTCTTGAACTACAAAATCGGGAAGCCCAGAACCACAGAATGTGTCTGTGGGAAAATTAGTGCGTTTTTGGTTTTTTGGAGGTTTTTTGGGGGGTTTTTTTTGGGTTTTTTTGGGGTTTTTTTTTTTTGTTTTTTTGTTTTTTTGTCTTATTTAGGGATGGCTTTAATTGTGCGGTTGCTCTCTAGGACTCTTCAGTCCTGTGGGAGCTGTTCCTGTGCTGCCAAAAGCAAATTGGTGCATGTTATGCGGCTTCTGCAGCAGTGTCCCCTTTTTTGGGACCGAGATTTCTGGTGACAAGCCCAGGACAGACCAACAGCAGCTCACCCACCTCGCACTCTCCATCCCTGCAGGGACAGGGTCCCAGGCTGGGTTACATTTGCAGAAACCTGTTCTACACAATCCCAGCTCCATCCCAAATTTTTGTATCATTTTTAGGAATGGGAGAGAAACTGAAGTGCAAACCTCTGTAAATATTTACACAGACTGTGTATCTATAAACACACACTTTTTCATCTCAGCTCCTCTCCCGTGCTCCTAAAAACTGTTTGATTTTCAGTCTGTTTATGCACACTGTGTATCAGCTCATTAAATATGAATAGTCCATAAATAATAACTAAAAAATGTCAAACAATTATTGAGAGCTCGATGCCGCAAACAGGTTTGTATCCCCGGCAACAGAGCAGCTCTCACTGCCCGTAAAGCCCCTAACAAATACAAACAATTTTTGCTGGGAACTTTAAAAATATTGCTCATTTTTCAGGAGTGTTTTTAAGCCACACAAATACATTCTGTGTTCCTGTGGTTTCAATAGCCTGGTCCTGAGCAGACAAATATCTTAATTTAATATTTTTTTTCCTGAGTAATGGAGAATGTATCTTGCATTTATCTGGCTCAGGTAGCTCCTAAAAGTGATAACAAAATTCAAGATAGATCTCAAAACCAAATAGAAACAAAAGGTGGAAAGACATTGAAACAAAACAAAAGGTGGAAGATATTCACTTAGCCTTTAAAGAATTATTTTTAAATCATAGTCTTATATTTTAATATGTACTTTTCATGCATATTTTAAAAATCCAAGATGTATTAGATGTTTGGACTCAGAACAAAAAATTAATCCCATGGCTGCCTATGAAGATTTATCAACAAGGATGGGAATAATAAGGAATTACAAGAGCAAGAGCGTGACTGCTCAGCTCCCATGCTTTTAATCTATTTATACCAGAGTCTGCAGGAGTTCCTGGGTGCCCAGTGCTCCTCCATTAAAGCAGTCCCTTTCCCTTGCAGATGAGCCCTCCATGTCGGAAATGAGCCATTCCAACGGGATTTACAGCACGCTGAGCGAAGCCTCGCCGGCGCTGGGGCGGCAGGCGGGCACCAACGGGAGCTTTGCCCTGGAGCACGGCGCCATCCCGGCCCCGGAGCCGTTCCACGAGCTGCGCTCCAGCAGCCCCTACGGAATCCCCCCGTCCCCCGCGGCCCTGCAGGCCCTGCCCGGCCACCAGCCCTTAATCTCCAGCCTGGTGTACCCCGACAACGGCCTGGCCATCATGGGACAGAGCGGAGCAGGGGTGCCCCAGCCCATGAGGGTCCTGGCCGGGAATGGACCGAGCTCCGACCTCTCCACGGGCAGCAGCGGCGGGTACCCCGATTTCCCGGCCAGCCCGGCCTCCTGGCTCGATGAGGTCGACCACGCTCAGTTTTGATACAGGGGCCGCCCCCAGGCAGCGGGAAGGGAAAGGACTCGGTGCTGTGAAATGTCACCTGCTCTTGGAAAGGACGGAGGGACAGCCCTGAGTGCCGTGACACGGAGGGAGCAGAGGGGATTTCGGAGATGAGCCTGGCATGATGGCGATGATGATGATGATGATGATGATGATGGACAAAGGCCCTGGCACTGCAGCCATTGGCACCCAGAGCGTCCCAACCAAACTGAATCTTGTGTCTTTACCAAACACCAGGACTTGTGCTTTACAGATTTGATATGAGGTATTTTGCGTTTTGTTGTCAGTGCATTCTCCAAAGCGAGGACTTGCTCCATCACCCATCCACACTGAAACATTTTTAAGGGAAAATAAAATCCTCATCCACGGTGAAAGGTGTGACAATGTCTATATTTCTATACGAGAAATGTTCATAGTGAATCACTTCAGAAATCCATGGTAGGAAACTTTTCTGTTCTTCCAACAGATTTTTTTAAAAGCGCACCGATGCGGTATGTTTTGTTTTACTTTGAATTTACATTAACTTTTCTAAAACAAAATGCTCTTTAATATGCCAATCGTTTATCAACGGCCCTTTTCCTTTGTAAAATGAAAATCATATGTTAATTCTGCTTCTCCCCTTTTTAATTTGTAGCTTGCTAGGTTGACTCTTCCATATAAGCATTAAGCCATGAATAGATGTATTTATTACCAAGTAATTCCACGTTCATCACCAGGTCAAGAGGTGAATTTTCTTGACCCAGGGACACCGGTGGTGGATCTGGGTTGTGGATCTTATGCTTTTCCTTGAAATTTCTTTGTATCAGTTTTACTGCAAAGTGTCTCAAAAATCACCCTGATGTCTTGTTGCCAAAAACCTTTTTGGGGAGCTGGATTTAAGATGAGCCCTTCCCCAGGCACTGCTGGAGTGAGCACCCCTTCCCTGGGGACGCATCCCTGCTCCAAGCATTTGTGTATTTCCACAGATATCGTGCAAGGTGATTGTGAGGAAAGGCAAGACAGTGTGTATATTGTTATCTGTAAAAATTATGGAATTAACTGTAGATTATGTGGATGTCCAGTGTCTTTTATTTATATTCTCGCTCTCTCTCTGATGATCAAATACTTCAAGGTTACAAATAAATTTGTCAGCTAAACTTTACATAGTCTTTTGCTAAATTCACATCAATATCAGTAAATAAAAAACCTGAAATTAAAAGCTGTTAAAACTTGATGCCATAGTTGAACAGAGTGTTGAAATATTCTCTTTCAACAGAGGAGCAAACCCACTGATGTATAAATGCTTTGGAACAAAAAAAATGAGGACATGGGAGGTGGCTGTCCTTGGGAGATCTGAACAGGATTGCTCTGGCTTTGATCATATTTTTGGTGGGACATTGTTCTTTTTCAGCATTTGTGGCAAAGCTGATGGCTGATGGAAATAGAGTCTGATGCCGTCTGTTTGCAGAAAGTCGTGAATGTCAAACACAGATATGGAAATATTTTGATCAGAAAGAAAAGGAAAAAATCCATAAGGGAGTCAGTTCGACCAAACATTTGCATATATTTATATTTATATGCACACAAATACATATCCAGATAAGCACATCCACGTGTCTGTGGTCACACTGCTGGGGGCACGGTGCAGGCTGTGCTAAGCTCTCTGGTTCGAGGATCTGAGGACAGACACCTTTTAACACACGTGGGCTCTGAGGTTCTCACTGCCCTGGGAATTCAGGGAATATTTGCACCGAGATTTTCCAGTGCCCATGGAGCAGCAGCACAGCCCGGGGTGATGCCCTGGTACCTGCCAGCCCCCGTGCCCCATGGCACACCTGGAACATCCCAGATTTTATTCCTCACCTTTTCTAAAGGACTCGTGGCACTGCTGGGAGGTTTGGGGGCTGTGCTGCCCACGATGCCCATCGCCCCCTCCTGCTCTTTCCCTCCAGGTTCTGCTCTCAGGGAGCACAAGGAGCCTGCCCAAAGCAGAGCAGGTCCATGGGCACGGCTTTAGGGAAGAATTGCTCACCCAACAGAGAAATTCCCTTTTCTCTCCAGGAGATTCACTCTGAGAGCCATAGCAGGGACAGGAGAAATCTCAAAAAAAATTTGTTTCCTTCAGTTCTGAGCTCCTGAGTCCAGAGCTGGGCTTGGCAGCTTTTCCTTCCTTCTCCAGAAGTGAATAATAAAGAGACAACTGTTGCTGCCAGCCTGTAGTTACATCACAGGGACATTTCTTAAGGAAATTTATGGAGTAAATAGAAAACTGTGGGATTTAAAATAAGCAGATTGCAGAACGTCACTGCAAGAGAAAAGAAGAGTTTGTATTTTCAAGAATTCTGTATCTAGAAATGCCCTCACCAAATTTGGAAAGGTGTTTTGCATCAAAATATTTTGGTAGTTCAAGTATTAATAACATTTTCATATAAAAGACTAAAAAATACTTTGAAATAGTTTTATTTCATAAAAATTAAGAATTAACAACAGAAAGACAGAAATGCAGTTGGTTTTAGGATAATTCTGTTGTTAAAAGAACAGTCTAATAACTGTACTAATGGAACCTGTTTTTTATAGATATTTTTCTCATCGTTTCCCTCCCAGTAAATAACGGGTGCTGTTGTTCCTCTGCCCCTGGGAATTCCCAGGGGATGGCTGAATTTAAGAAAGGAAGAAATGCAAATCTCCCCCTGCCTTTGTGCTTTGCTCAGAAAGGCAGAACGGGGCTGGAAGTTGTTGGTGCTTGTGCTGCTCTGAACAGGGAGAGGAGCTCTGAGTGTCCTGAGCTCAAATTCAGGGATTGCATTTCAGCCTCTCCTTTCAGGGCCGAGGCTCAAGGATTCCATTAATATAAATGCTTTCTTCCCATTAAAAAGAAAACCAATTTGAAGGAGGCAAATAAAACTAACACTGTCCAACTGACTGACAGCTTGTAAAACCCAGGCAGAGTGAGGAAGAGGAGGTTTGCACTGCTCAATTTGCAGGTGGCTTTACAACCTCCACTGATTTCCATCGGTGCACGACATGGGAGGCAGGAAATTTTTTGTCTTCTCAAAGAGGAAAGTCCACCCTTTCCTTTTTCTTTTTCTTTTTTTTTTTTTCCAAACAGCATATTCACCTTTGTGCCTAAACTTGTGTTCCCTACAGAAATGTTTGGGTTTTATGCCAAAGAGTAAAAACAGCTTATTTTTTTCTTATTTGGATTTCCCATGTGAGGCCAATGAAACCAAATCCCTCATGCCCGGGGACAGACACCTCCTCTCCTACCCAGTCTGATCTAGGGGAGGAGGTGACAAAAGGGCACCAAGAGCTTGGGCACAGAGCTTGGGGACCTCAGTTCCCTTTTGGGGGTGTGGGCCAGGTGAAACCCCTCATCCCCAGGGAGAGGGAAGGTGGGCATGGCCAGCTCACCCTCAGGTCCCTCTGGTGGCTTCTCCCAGATGTATCAGAGCATCTGAGCAGAGGTTCCCAACACCCTCATGTCCACCTCACCTCCCCCTGCCCAAATCACCATCCTCAGGAACAAGGTAGGAAAACCTCCAGATCCTCCTCCTGCAGTGCAGGCAGAGATGCTGGGTAGCACAAGGGAGAGTTCCAGAGATTTGGTCTCAGCAAATTTTCCAGCAAAGATGCTGTTGACAGGAAATTTCGCCACCAGCTGCCCACAGATCAGCAAAACCAAATTCCACACGTGTTTTAGCTCCCTGGTTCTTCTTCCACCGAGGTCTGAAGAGTGTCCCTGTGTGTCCAGTGAGGGCAGAGCCAGTGTCAGGCTGGACACAATCCTGCATCCCACTCCCACCCAGGCCCTGGCCTCTCCCAGCTCCTCTGCAGAGCCTGGAAAAAGGCTCCGAGTCAGCTGGAGGCGAGTAAATCATTCCTGACAGCTACATCTCTACAGGGCAGTTAGAATTAATGTAACAATTTGGCGTTTAATGAAGCAACAACATGCTGGGCTGCAGAGAATAGCTGGGACCTGCTGCAGTCATTTTATAATCCCTGAGGGACCCAAACGGCAGCGGCTCCATCAGATGCCGACTCGTCAGGCTGAGCAAACGGCCGGGAGGGGACAGCGAGGGACAGCGGAGCGGCCGGGAGGGGACAGCCCCTCCTGCTGGGGACAGGCAGCTGAGCACGGCCCCAGGGACCTGCCCGGATCCCAAATCCCCTGTGCTGCAGGGATGGGCTCAGCCCTGGACAGCGGGAGCATCCTCGGGCATCCCCCGGCATCGCCTGCCCGGAGCTCGGGGGATGCTCGGCCTGAGGGGTCACAGATGCTGGAAATGTTGTTTGTGTAAAAAAATATTTTGGGAAGCTTGTCTAAGAGGAGTAGAGAGCCCCAGGGACCTGCCTGGAGCCTAAATCCCCTGTGCTGCAGGGAAGGGCTGAACCCTGGACAGCGGGAGCATCCCCCGGCATCGCCTGCCCGGAGCTTGGGGAATGCTCGGCCTGGGGGTCACAGAGATGCTGGAAATGTTGTTTGCGTAAAAAAAATATTTTGGGAAGCTTGTCTATGAAGAGTAGAGAACTCAATCAGCACTGGAGGGGGGAAATGGCAGAACAATATGTTTCCTAAATAAAAATCAGCCCGATCAGGCGCTCTGCACCCCAAAGTCAGATTTCTGCACAAGTTGCAGGTATTCAGCCCTTTGCAGGATAAGGCCTTTTAAAAACACTCCCTGCACGGAGGAGGGGGAGAGAAGAATGAATGCAAATGACTTTGGAGACAATCTCCCATTCCCCATGTATATACACACGCTCTCCAAGCACCGCAGGCTGCAGCAGCTTGGATGCTTTAAAATAAATCATGCAGCGCTGTTTTTTTTTTTTTTTTTTTTCTTTTTTTTTTTTTGCTTGCTTGCTTTTAAATGAAAGCACAGCACAAAACAACATCCCCTCAGTCCCACCCCAGCCGTGCTGGAGCTCCTCTCTGGGGCTGGCTGTGTGTGTGTGTGGCCATAAACCTCCCCAGGTTTTGTTGTGAAGCCTCACGGTCAGCGGCT